CGAAGCAAGACAGCTTGGATAACATGTTCATTGAGGATGTAGGTCTTAGTAAAATTGTCGCATGGCCTTGACCACGTCGGCGACTAACATCGCTCGATGTTTTAGCTGATTTCGGCAATCACCTCGCATTTCGGGGAGACGCTGGTACGGATGCGATTCACGGAGTACGTCGCGCGCTTCGTTCGGCTGGCGTCGCGGTACGAGGAGCTCGCTGTGGGATCGACAAAGCTTGGATATGGTAGCGCACCATTTTCAGACGGGTCCCTAGGTAGCGGCATCGTGTTTCCGGATGAGGGAGCTGCATTTAAGGAGCTTACTGCGAACGCAAGTCGGATTGAGGGTTGGCGAAGGAGCAAGTCCTATCAATACTGCGTCCAGGTGTGTAGTTCCTCCTCTAAAGGTTGCGGGCCTAAAGGATTTTTTGATATATTCTCCGTACTGTGTAGGATTTCAAAAAATATAGAGCAACCGCTGCTATCCAGGGATTCGACTTATCGCATCAACTTTTAAGATTGCGGCTGGTGAAAAACTTACCGGATGCGGAAGTTGAGCTCATCGTGCGTTCAATAGCAGACAACTTACGGACATACGAACAAATAGTTGAGGTGAGCATTCTCACATTCTGGACTGTTGGGTGATCCATAATTTCTGGTACAGTTCCTCACTTTTGCCACCACATTCCGGAGGGTTACAGCCTCTGAGTTTTTGCCTATTCCACCATCAAGAATCCATTCGGGAAGCCACCGTTGATATTTTCAATGAGCTGCGTCAGAACCCGTACGCTGTTTGCTTATTTTTTCATGGTCGTTTTAAATCACTCACTGCTTTTGTTTCGTAGGCTGGGGTGATCTTTCTGCAAGCTCTGAATCACTTCCAGAGGTATGCCTATGTTCGGCAAGCACACGCTCGTGAATCACGCATGAAGGATGTGACCCATGGTCTGGCCCCCGCCACCTCACTTGGTATCACGGACGCCGTCCAACCGCAGTGAAGTCAGTCTAGGGGGGATGTGAGCACGAAGAAATGTCACCAGTGTGCAAGTTCTCGTCTATCTGGACTTACAAAAACAGTTCTTATATTGGAGCGCATCACATGTACATCATATAACATACAAGTACTTGTGTTGGCGCGATCATGGCACCTCTCGAGACCCATCCTAATGGTAGAGGACCGGGACAGGTGCCACCGTCATACGGGTAGACCTGCCCCTTCAATGTCTCCTTGAAGTGAATGCCAGCGACACAGAATTTTGCTAAGTATAGAACTCTGGTCGTACTCATCTGGAGATGTAACATGCAGGGCAGCCCAAACAAGTAGTATCAAAAAACATGCGCCTCCAAACATTGCGAGTCTGCCGACCACGTGGGACGCCAGTAAGAGAAAGTGAGCGACCATAAAGACGATGCTCCATAGATAGAGCCTTTTGGCAGACCGAAGGCAATGGCAGAGGGGAGCATCCCAACTGAACGTGATTTTGCGGCCCTCAGGTAGCGTGCCTGGATAAAATGGACATGATCAGCTGAGTTATAAGGCGCAAGAAAGAAGATGCGAACGGCAAATGATGCAGTGGCGTCCTCTAGGCCGTGGTGTTTAAGGAGTAGGATTGATCCCGTGGCGAGGCTCCCAGACGCTGAGACAATCGATGGCAAGGCAGATGACAAAGAAGCACGAGATAAAAGACAAGAGAGGAGGTTAGCACTACAAAAGAATGGTCATGACGGCGTCCTTAGTGTCCGACAATCAAGGCCTCTCACATGATCACTGGGAATGTCTGGAGAATCATGAATCAAAATTCATAACAGTTATCGGAAATGTGCGCACCCAAACAACTACTGTATGCCACTCCGAAATACATGCGGTCATGAAAATTTGCCATTGATCGACGAATACCTGTTCGTTTGCAAACAAATCACGGAGTTCGAAGAAATATCGATCGGGGATTCCCCACAAAGCCAAGTTTGCAGTGGTTTTCACCCATTGATGATCCATATCTTCCTCAGGAGCCATAATTGTAGTCTGTCTAACTGGGCGTGTTCTTGCCCATAATAAGTCATAAACCGCTGATTTTCTACCATGTTCCTCAGTATATTTGACGAGACGATTTTAGCATCCAACGAACCTATTGCGCCCCATAGACGAGCTAAAATATTCGTGAGCTCAATTCAGGAGAAACAATGGGGTTTCCCACCCACCAACAAAGCATAATGTGTGTCCATCAAGGGGTCGACCTTTGCGGAAAGTTTCGGTCAGAAGATTGGATACACTCAAGTCTTGGCCGTACCTCGTTGCAAAGACAGCAGCTGCAGTAGTTGACTACATTTTTCCGCAGTGTACGGAAACGTGGACGATCGGGATGTCAAACGGTCTTCACTCACAGCTCAGAATATGAAAATCATGGATAAGGAAATAAATACCTGCTGCACCATGAGACATGACGCCGATTAGATCGTCTACCACCTGGGGTGACACCTGTGCATACATGTGCATTGGGAAGAATTCCACGTGCACCCAATATAGTCTTTCTAAGGCAGTGTCTGCTAGCATGTGAGTATAAATGACGGAGGAATAATTCAGATACACACCAAGATGAGAATCGGAGACTATGGTCCCCATATCAAGTAGTTCCGTGGAAGTTTGCTCAAGCCAGAAGATACGGCGGGCATCACGATTTACGAAGTAGTAGGCACAGGAGAATGGTGATTCATCAAGCTCTATGAATAGCTCCGACGAAGGCGGCACTATGATTTGCTGCTGGAAGATTGTGTCATCGATAAACTTGAGGCAGCCGGCTACCCGGTTCTCGGTCTCTTGCCTATGAATATTGGCTTCTGTCACAACGTCGTAGTTGGGAAGTCTTCTGTGGAAGTACAGCTGGCCTTCAGGGTGCGGATAAGAGTTCCACTCCGTTTGGATGTCGAGAGAACTTTACAAGGACATTCATTTTAGTGCAAATGGGGGCTGAGCGACAACAATCAACTAACCTGGGAGCGCTAAGAGATCGCGCTGGTGGTATGATGGTGTGATAAGAATAGATGCTAAAAAATAAATGTCAGTGCATGTATGAGCTCTGACCACCTGCGCAAACTTACCTGGACGACTTGCCATATCGTGCAGTGCCAACTGATGTGATAGGTCTTAGCATCCCAGATGAGGAATGCATGGACAATTGTATTCCGCATCTTGTTTGAGTGTGTTGACTCATGCCGAATGTCGTTAACCATGGAGAAATTGTTAGCTTTTATAAAGGAACGCTCTTATTCCTGTGCCACAGGCACATCGGCGCGTTGTGGTGTAGACCAGGAATCGTTACAGATATCATAGGTAATATTGGATCCGTCACGGATCCTGTACATGTGGCACAAATCGAGCACTTCGAAAGATCCCCGGCGTGGGTCAATTGGTCTTAATCATTACTAGTAGCAGTGCTAGGACAGGGTTGTGAAACCAGTGCGCACGACATGTGGATTGGGTGGCAGTGAAATCGGGATCTAGCCAGATCCGGCTCACTCTGGTTCGCTACATAATAATAGCATAAATGAACCAGCTCGAGACTATTGCCACTACGTTCGCACGTCATGCCATTATGTGGCTCAGTGCTCAGCACAGAAACTTCGCTCTTCCAGATACTTATAAAACAGTCGAGCTCCGTTGGATATCGTGCATACTGCCAGACGGTTCGCGTGTCCAGTGAGACCATAGAGGCAATAGGGCTATGACAGTCCACCAAATAGCTAGGTATGTTCAAGTCTTGCCAGTCACCCTCGTGAATAATGATACTCTGAGTGAAACTGGCTGCTGAGACTGGGCGTCCAGATTCCAGATTCAAAAATACGGTCAAGTGAGGCATGAGCTGAAAATGAAAATATCATAGGGCTAAGCTGGCGCCTCTTATAGATACTACTTAGATGGATTTGGTCGGGCGCTGGCTGGTCGATCACTTGATTGACTTATCAGACGCTGATGAAGGGCCAAGAGGCTTCTTATATCACATATGGACTTGTTGGCAAGCAAAGGCTGTCAAAGAGTTAGCCGTTATCGCAGGCCCCTACCGCCCTAGCCTCATAAAAGCTGTACTTGTTTTGATTTCAACGTTGGTGCTCTCCTTGTTATCCAAGTCCTGTCGCCTAGGGATCCCATTGATCTATTGCTACATATGTCGAATCCTAACTCAAATGATCGCAAGCACGGTGACCCAAATTACCTCAGGAAATCCGACGAAGCTATCCCGAGGGTGCGCAGATCTAAGGACGCAGCACATGCAGCCGAGCAGGATTCTGAAGAGGAATTTGAACCCAAGGAACATGTAGACAGCCCCCCAAGGTACAAATTTCTCCATGGCCTGTAATAAAGAGACTGATCGCTGATCAGGTTCACAAGTCGTGGACGGCAGGACGAGCATTTGAGACGAATGTCGCAGCCACAGAGCAGGCCAAATCCTCCTACTCAACATCAAGGCCCCAGGTACGTTTGCTTCAGGCCAGTCATACAATACCGCGCGTTGAAAGGGTGTGTAGTAGACAGCCACTTCGTCAAGAAAATCCTGCGCAACATGCTCCCGCGTACCTTCCCCCTGCTCAGCATGCTCCTGCGCAACAACATACTCCCGCACAGTACGCTCATGCGCAACGTCCCCCCGCACAGCACGTTTCTCCGCAACATGCTCCTGCGCAACAACATACTCCCGCGCAGCGTACTCCCGTACAGTACGCTCCTGCGCAACATGCTCCCGCGCAACAACATACTCCCGCGCAGCGTACTCCCGTACAGTACGCTCCTGCGCAACAACATACTCCCGCGCAGCGTACTCCCGTACAGTACGCTCCTGCGCAACATGCTCCCGCGCACCATGCTCCTGCGCAACAACATACTCCCGCGCAGCGTACTCCCGTACAGTACGCTCCTGCGCAACATGCTCCCGCGCACCATGCTCCTGCGCAACATCCTCCCGCGCAACGCACCCACGCACAATACGCTCCTGCGCAACATCCTCCCGCGCACCGTCCCCCCGCACAGTATGCTTCTGCGCAGCAACATGTTCCCGCGCACCGTCCCCCCGCACAGTACACTCCTGCGCAACAGCATGTTCCCGCGCACCGTCCTCCTGCACAGTACTCACCTGCACAGTACTCACCTGCACAGTACCCACCACAGTACCCACCCGCACAGTTCCCACCCGCACATCACCCACCAGGCCAACCAGGGCGAAGGTGAGGGATGGTTTGGTTCGTCATTCGTGGTGTGACTGCTATGACTCCTGTACATCAGATGTAACATAAGTGCATGTATTTTGGTTATCTCGAATGTGTACAAAAAGAAACGTGACACGTTGATCGGTACTGGTATTCAAAACTTCATGTGTTCCTCAAGAAAATTCATTTCACAACTACTTAACACTATAGCACTATGCAGTGTTCGTCTTCCAGAGTTCATAGCCGATATAGTGGAGTGCAACAGCACAAAATTGCCTTCAGGAATCACCAAACATATACTCGCACAGCATTACCAGACATCCTAACTTCTAAGAACACCCTAGTAGAAGTTGATACCCGTCGAAGCTCGAGATTGTTCGAATGCCAGTGCTTACACCGGGTTATTATGTATAGAGCGAGTTACAGGGCGGGCGTTCGAAACTCACAGGACCCTGGCTGGAAAGCACTGTTCACTGCCTTTACCGGAACTTTCACATCCAAATGCAGTCAAGGTATCACATCACATTGCCTAATTTGGATACAAAGTAAACGAAGCCGAAGTTTTCAAAAACTCTTTCAAATGCAACATGTCACTGTAATCAAGCCTGTGGTACCAAGTTCGCACACATACCACATCTCACTGTCTGGTATTTATTCACCTTTGCGAAAACATCAATGATCTGACTACTGCACACTGCACAATTCGTGAGATCATCCCACTACGAACTTCTAGACTCAGGCTGCTATGATTAAATCACTGGCGGATTGCCACTTCCGTTAAAGCGGTGATTTTGTCGTACTCAAGGGACGTAACCTTAAGACACTTACACAGTACATAGTCGAGCTTTCTGTCATGTCAAGGCACTTACCCCAGACTATCAGTTATCCCCCACAGCATGTACGGCAGTGAGCCAGTTGATAACACAGGACTTGATAACAGAATGAACATTCACGCTGTGGTAGACAAAGAGCGTCTTCTACGCTCACTGCGGTGCAAATACCAGTGCTATTGCATGAGGTCGCCCTTCCTGTGTCAGATACATCTTCTGCTATATAAGAAGCTTTGGATCGAACTCGATCATCAATAATGCAAATGACTTCCTACCAAATCACAGAAGATCTTCTCGTTCAAGATCAAGGGTAAGATAATTCACCTCTATGGTGCATTAGTATTCCTATCATTCATTTCCTCTAGGTTTGGAACCGCCGTGGATGTCGACTCGGATGACCCCGATCTTTCATCAGAGGAAGACCATGATCCAGAGCCAGACGAATTAATCCAGGGTCCTTCAACTGGGTTCGTTCATTTTAATACACATCTTCACAAGTGGTGCCCAAGATCTCACACCTGATGGACAGTTTTACCAAGCGTGGACAACAGAAACCCGATAGTGCTGGCCCATCTGCAGCAAAGACAGACAAGAACAATACCCCTCTTCAGCAGATCAAGGAGTACGTTCAAATATTACAAGCAATTCAGTCTCATAATAACAGATTGTTTCCAAAGGCCTCGTAAGACCACCGTACCACCTCCGAAAAATGAGTCCAACCCAGCCAATTACTCTCGCGTTAGCAAGTGATACATCGTAGCTTGTCTTCCACAGTACTAATTATGTACCATTTCCATTATTCTAACTTGTTGTAATTTTGGTCTGTAGAAGACCGGGTTCTGTTATCGTCAATTCTTATGTAGATATGCAATGTTCCGAGTTCATGCCATATGTCAAACCTATGCTGTCATAAAGACAACCCTTTCACTCATAGCCATGATACATATGTCAGCTGTAATATCAATATAGTATGCAGTGCCGACACTTGTTCTGTATATGGAGTTTCCTCTCGATGAGCCTTGAAGATCGAGGACTGTGGAGCAGGCCTGCACAATGTGGCGTTCTACCAGTGTGCCTGTCACTAAGCAGAAGGGCGTGGGTTCTTTAGCACAATCAACCATTTGTAGAGGCTCACGGTAAGTAGAAGGCCCCTCTTCAGACTCACAGAAGATTGACTTTGCATGTTCCCGTCCTTTCGTTTGACTAATCAGGGGTTCAAACTATATATGGCTAAGCTTCTCACTCAAATTCTAGTATGAAAGGAGTCCATACCTATTCCCCTTATCTCGTACGCCATTCCCCAGGACAGCTCGCAGAGCACCGCGTCTTAACAGTTTCCGTTGATTGCTGCAGTATATAAATATATAAATTCTTTCTTTGGTATGAAAGGAAAGCCCAGACTGGAAACCTACTACTGATATCTCGTGGAAGAGGGATAAAAAAGAAAAGCGACTTGACCATTCAAGAATGGGCGACGAGCCCGCCAATATTTGATTGACCGATGGCGGGGCGCTCTGGCAGGACAGGTAAGGTCGGGAGTACCAGGGTCCTGGCTCGCAGTCGGTAGTCCTGCGGCGTGTCGTAGATAGATAGAGCCGCAGCCTCCCGCCATAGAGGTTTGGCCTTGGGTTCCCTTGCAGTTTGTGCCCGTTCTACTAAGTCCTCTGACGCAGAGACATTAGGCGAATTGGAAAGAGTCCTTATGTCACCTGCGCCAGACAACACCCAAAGCTCCACAATGTTGTCATAAATATGGGCCGACGTCATCACAGACCTGCAAGACCCATTCGAGAGCAGAAAGCGCACACGCCAAAATATGTATTTCCTCCGCCTAAAAGACTGGACCACATGTGGATTTTTCGACTCTGAACTTCCGTTGTGCTTTTGATGGTAGAATCATGCATGTAGGTAGAAAGGTCCAGGTGAACTCCACAGTAGGAACGTGCTTCTCCCTGTGATATGACATACTTGAACTTTGCGTACAACAGCCTCTGAGAAACGCGTGATATAAAGAGGTCCTGGTTCGACCGCTAGAAAATAAAACGAGAACGAGGCAGAGCAGGTAACACGAATCTGGTTCGGTTGAGATTAATATCTGGAAACGAGGCAGTTAGCTCGTTGGCAAGACTCCTGCCACTATGTCTCAAACCTTAGAAATGAAACCTTGAACCATACCATATACCGAAAATAAGCGTGTTATCTTTTCCGAGCCATAGGTGTCCATGATCGGGGTTCATCAGATCCTTTCAATGCTTCTGCCCAAGGATCCCGTGTTTGCGCCTTTGGCCGTTGATCAGATTCTGGAGGTTCCAGTTTTTGATCCCTAGGCACGCTCCACGAGACCGACGGAGACCGTGTCTCAATTTCAGGATGATGGCCGGGTGTATCCAGCCGCTCCCTGTTGGCTCTTTCCGCTTCATCCTTCGCTTCTAGAATGGCTACATTCAACTTAACCCGTTGTTGACGTGCTAGATCCGCTTGTAATTCCTGTGAGATGATACGTAAAAAATTCATGTTAAATTTTAGCATGAGGACCACGTTAAATTGTACCTCACCTCAATACTCGGCGGATCCGGCCTAGTATGTGTCAGCCATGCTGACCATTGCACTGCACACAACAAACACGATAAGAATGAGTAAAAGGGAGAAGCTAAAATCAGAAACAAGAACGTTACGATGAAGGTACGAACCTGGGAGGCGCTTGCCACTAGCAACGTACGCCCACATGTCTTCATTTTTGCTGTACTTCACTGTTCGTTTGGAACGTCCTTCATACATAAAAGTTACCCTATAAGTGCTTGACTGAGGTTCCATTACAGTCGTACCATTGTTCGCGTTTGAATGTTCGAAGTACTTGTTCCCTAGAGTATCGGATCAGGAGACACAGGATAAGGACTTGTATCACGGCCGGAACATACCTTCCATGTCTTTTCCAACGAAATATGCCTATAGGGAACCATTAGTAGCGGAATGTTCTGGCCCGGTCCATCACATACTGGCTTGAATATTCGCTGCCACACACGTCTCACAATTGACATAGCACCACAGTTGTGCTGTTGCAAGGAAGGGGCAATGAAAAATTTAAAACAGTTACAGCCTCTCGAGGTACGTATACAAACACCCGCTAGTCATTGGCCGAATGGAACAAAATAAATGGAATGGTCTCGTTCACTGTGAAGCTCCGATGTTGAACGAATTGCCGCGGAGATTAAAATGACGACAATCGGAGCAAAAGCGGAGTTAATATTGGTCAGCCATTTCGGCAACTCAGGTTGCCGGGAGAATCTGGAGTGCGACTTATGTTTAGGAAATAGTACTTGCTAGGGAGCTGCTCCAACACTACCAACTCCATGAGCCCGAGCGAGTGAAGCGCATCGCATTATTTCTACAAGGAGAGAGAAGTTCTCTAGTAATCTCCAAGGCTCTCATCGTCATCCAAGTCTCCCTCTTGGATTTCCTTTGCGAGCTCTTTCTCGCGCTCCCGTGCATCCTGCGCAGCAGCAAGCTCCTTGCGGTGGGCATTAAGAGGGTAGCGCATAGCCTGCAAGATCCAAGTATGAGGGATGTCCGATGTGAAAGTTTCCAACGGAAAATACTTTACCTTGACACTCTCATTATGCAAATCCAAGCAATATCCAATTCGTCTGCCAAACACCTCGCTAGCCTCGGGGCCGTAGCCATCCTTCTGGCTTCCGCATTCCATCCAACCTTTCTCATGGACGATTCGGCCTTCAATCACACCATCCCGAATGGCCTTACCAACAATATACTCCGCGTCTTCCTCGGAATCGAGGTGGAGTTTCAAGCAAATGTCACGCAATGAGATCCTCGAGTATGATAGAGAGAGTCTGCGAATACCGGTCTTGATAACGTTTTGCCGGAGCCGGACGATTAGGGTATAGGTCTTGTCGGCCTCGAATTGTGTTGCGTGTTTGTTCAAAGTCATCTGGAACTCCGATAAGGAGCCTGTCCGAACGGCTAGGGGAATGGGTCAGCATTAGCATTGCTTTGGACAGCAGTAAATTTTCCTACCCTTCACGATGTCAAAGTAAGCACTCAGGGCTTTCTCTAACACCGGATGCCGGAAAAGACCGCGGTCCGGAATATCACCCATTAAAAGTTCAACGATCACAAAAAGTTTATGCACGGCCTGGTAGAATCCTGGCGCGGTCTTTGCGGGAGGGGCGCGACGGATAGCTTGTTGCAGGTTTGTGTGTGCCGCAGTATAATTCAATTGCACCGCTTTGATGCGGCCGAGGAAATAGTGGTAGCGGGCATACTGCGGGTTGCTCGCTGAGGCAGGGAAAGTAGTCTTGGACACTAGCTTGTCAGCCTGGTCGTAAAGGTTATAGTGGAGATAACCCCGAAGTAGGCGATTGATCAGCGAAGCTTGCGTGTCATCGTCGTGACGAAGGGACGCGGTGCGTTGCGCAGCGAGGAACATTCTGGAAAATTAATAAGTTAGGAGTATGCCAAATTTACATGGATCTGAACTCACGGACGGGCATCTGCCAGCTCTCCGCCGAGCTCATATGATCGCTCCACGGCAAACCATATCTTGGCAGCTATTGGATCCATACTTCTACGGTTCATGGACTGCATTTTGTCAACAGTTTCGTGAGAAAGTTCTATAGACTTGGAGTATGTGTCCTTGGACATGTGGAGATGATGAATGATGAGCAGGCGGAGATAGATCTCAGCTTCTGGTACGGGATCAGAAGTTGGCTTCGATGATGGAGGCGGAGGAGCAGTAGCATTCGCCTCTGATGTTGTGTCTACTTCCATAGACTGTTCTGCAGGAGGAGCAGGAGGAAGCCATGATAGAAGAGAATTCTTGACAGCAGAGTCTGCACAAAGTTGAACATGGAGGCAGAAGGTGTGAATGCATCACACACCTTTGGGATAATTTTCCTCGATGGCATCACGCAGAACCTTGTCATTTATGCGCTTTCGCAGCGCAGTCAGTGAACGTAAGACGCGATGAGTAAACCGGGTTTCGAGGTCATTGATAGCGCGATCGATGAGCGCGATGTTAGCCTTAATCTCCTGCGTCGGCGTCGGGGGTTCTGGCTTTGGTTCTGGCATCGTTTCATCTTTCTTTTCGTCTTTCTTGTCTTCCTTCTTGTCGGTAGCCTTCACCATCTCGACGTCGGGCATGATGCAAAGGATAGTTAATGACGCGGTGACGCGTCCTGTGTTGATGGGTCAGTATTATGTAAGTCTGGGAGATGGTAATAAATCCTTTAGGGCCTGGACAGCTGCCGTTTGTTTCTCAGTTTGTTTCTCAGTTTGTTTCTGTATGTGGCGTGGCACTTGTGACATAACAGTGACCAACAGTGACCTTTGTGTGACGGTCTCAAATGCCCACTCATACCTCCCTTTACCGCTGCTATGGCAAAGAAAAAGACTACCGTACCTTCAGCAAACAATGCTGGGACTTTAGCAGTTGCTCGCTGGACTGTCGAAGAGACATCCCGCCTTCTCGAATACCTCATAGCTCACTGTGCTGAAGGTGGAGATGGGACAGGATTCAAACAGTCTACTTTTACTGGCACATCAACTCATTTGCAGGAGCCGCCAGATGGCGTTTCAAAGGAAAACCATGTAGGGGGATCTGGCAGGGACTGGCAATCATGCAAGAACAAGTGGTTAAATGTACATTCTCTGCTCATGCTAGATTATATTCTGATTGTAATTTGCACAGTGCAAAAAAAAATATGCTGCTATTATCGATATCAAATCTCAATCAGGCTTTTCATGGGATGATGAACTCGGTGCGAATATTGGTCCTGCTGATGCTGCTCATTGGATGGCATTTGCAAAGGTGCGCTTCAGTTATGATATGAGAGGGGTACTGATATGATTATGAGTTTGCAGACATGTCCAGATACCAAACCGTTTCACAACAAGGGCTGGGAACACTTCCATGAGATGGACAAACTCATGTGCACACAACGCCCTTGCAGTACCAACGCCTTCCATGCTGGACATGAGACATTCGAGTCTGAACAAGCACCCCCTGACGATGACCAGGCCAACGGAAACAATACTCAACCTGTTGTGGAAGATGAGGTAGAGTGGTTAGTTGATGAGTATGTCAAGGACCAGGAGCAAGTAGCAGGAATGGTCAGTGACAAAGGGAAAACAGTTGCCGAGAGAGAGGTAGTGGCTGAGGATGACGACGAAGACGATATTATTCCTTGGGAGGTGACTCCTGTCAGAACCACGGTCAAGTGCAAGTTCGTATCTACCCGGTCTTCAACACCCTCCCTCACTGCCTCTGGATCTGGTACTACAGGCTCTGGTCCACCATTGAAACGCCGTCAGTTTAGTGGATCAGTGGGGGCACTCTACGCAATCAATGACCAATTTTCAGCATTCAGCGACATCTTCCGAGCCTCGTCGCAATCACACACTTCAAGCCCATCTATTATACTGTCACCTCAGCGCAAACAGGTGGCCATGCGACGCGCACAGGAGCTAGAAAAGCATCTTGACGATGATAGTATGGCAGCGCTCATTGAAGCATTTCAGATGGATGTCAGTGCTGCTGATGCATATATGGTCATGACAGATGACGGTCCAAGGAAGTCTTTTGTTGATAGAAAAATCAAACATATTAACCAGCAGGTTCTGTAGATTCAAATACTAGTATTGTAGGTCTCTATTCATGTATTCTGACGAGCGCAACAAATCCTATGGTAGTCCTCCCACATGGTGACCACAATATGATCTCTGTCTTCAGTCGCCCGCTGCCTCTCTTCATGGTCAGCTGGTCCCTCTGCAAGGTCGCCTCTAGACTCGCCTGGATCACAGTCAACAATGTCTTCATCGGCAAATTCTTCTATTTCTGTCGGATCATGAATGTGAATAAAATTATGGATCGCACATAGGGCTGGGGGGATGCGAGCTTGCATCGACATACTATACTCTGGTGGGTGTACCAGTATCATGAACCGCCTCTTGAGCACCCCGAATATTCTCTCAATAGCATTACGAGCTTGAGTGTGCCAGAGATTATAAATTTCTTTTGATGTTTTTGGCCTGTCACAGTGTTGAGAAGACACTACAGTGAGTTGTATATCACTCACCAAACTGCAGCTCGCCCCCATTCAGCCAGATGGTACCGAACACCTTGGTACGGGACAAGGAGTGAGTCGCATATCCCAAACCCAGCATCTGCGAGATAATATCTCCCTTCTGGAATATATAGGTCTGTGAGCCAGGCATTATTGTAGAGTGTCAAGTCTGATGTTGATCTGTCCCAACCACTGAGGACATACTGGAACTGGAGATCGAAGGAACAGCAAGCGAGACAATTTTGGCTGACACCACCTTTGCAGTTTCGTGATAGTTGCCGTTCTGCTGCAGATGGGCAGCATGCAATGTGGGTACCATCAATTGCCCCGAGTGCACCTGAAAAGTACGGGAAGAATTTAGAATTTTCCAATATTTCCTTTGGTATGGGTGCATTGTCATGCGGAAGGGATACAAATTTGTTGTAGAATGGAGCCAAAGATATGGCAAGTAGGACTTTCTTGAAATATCTGATAAGGCCTGTGTGAGGCTACTGGTAGTACAAATATCTTTGCAAGGTGAACATACTTTTGTATTGTTGTGTGAGAGTGCTGGAAGCATTCTGCAACATGACGGCTCAATAACCCAGTCACACAGGTGTAGAGAAATATAGCAATCTGTTCATCAAGTGAAATATACTTTGAATCACAAAGTCCACAAGCCCGAAGTTCCTGTACAAGTGCATGAAATACGACCTTTCTCATCCCAAGCTCATTTTTGATCCGGTTGGGATGTCCGTTGACAAGCTCTTGCACCCATGCATGCCCAGAGAGGATCGAGGTATGGTAAGGCTCTTTATTGAGAAATGGGGTCATGTAAACAATTATAGCACCTATTATGAGCTGGATAACCATTGCTGCTGCCATTCGGAGGACATAGAACCGGTGAATTTGCTCTCTTGCTGCCAGTGGAGGCGGCATTGAGTCCTTAGTATGTGTGACTAAACCCTATGTCACTGCTGTTTGTATATATTGTGGTAAATGAAACTAACTGAGAAACAAACAGCAGCTGTCCAGGCCCTTAGGTGAGCAAATGGCAATATCGACTCTATAGCTCAGTGGTAGAGCATACGATTGCAGATCGTGCGGTCCCGTGTTCGAACCACGGTGGGGTCTTTTTTGCACCACATTATTTCGAAGCTCACGACTCCTTCAAATTAATTTGAAGAATAAATTGTTTTTATTGTGGAACTTAAAGTGATACCGAGGGCTGGGCGATTCACTTGAAATCAGCGAACCGGCTGAGTTGCAGCCGCTGTAGCGGTTAACCTCTTAGCTGAGCTTGAAGACGGTCAGTCGACACGCTAAGACACGTCACCCAAACTGGGATTACAACACACCTTAACCAAAACCATGATATGGCAATTCTCTTGGCTGCTTCTTGCAGCAGCTGCCCAAGCTGCCTCTCTGTCCCTTCAGTCTCCTCGTTTCACAATTAGCGCATCAGATGCAACCCAGCTGCGCTCGGACACGTATGCACTAACCACATTCCTGCCATAATATAACTCATATTTCATACAGCCTGTCCCTGTCCAAAAAACCAGACCCTTTGACTCTTGGTGCAACTGACACCCTTAAGCTTACGTTCCAAATAACGGAGGGTGACGAGGGCAAAGGTGTTCAACCTCACCAAACCTTCCTCCGATTTTATGACAAAGAGTCAGGCGAGGAAGGCATCCAGCCTGTTCGCGTGACCCCAGGAGGAAAGGCTAAATTCGAGCTGGTGCGTTAGACTTTTGCTATTGCAAACAGCGTTAGACTTAATTGCTATGTTAGAACATGATGCGCCCACCTGCGTCCATTCCGCCGACTACGCACAACCCCCTCGAGGTCTCGCTTATCCTGGGCTCCTTCGTGCACGCACCTGCACAATACGACCTTTTTGATCTCTACATACCTGCCTCCCAAACTCCCGCTGAACACCCGGATGAAGCTTCATTCCACGTCCTCCCCACTATCAAGCATACCTTCCGCCCAGAACAAAAATCACCTCCTCAGTTTATCTCTGCCGTATTTGCAGCGGCCGCACTGTCGCCTTGGCTCGTGCTGATCGGATTGGTGCGTTTCTTCCCTATTAAATTAATCCTTAGCTGACGAACTTTGTGGTGAAGTGGAGTAAAATTGGCGTCAGGGTCCCGAACCTCTTTTCAATTAGCATCGTGCCCTTCACTGCTCTCCTCGGCGCTTTTGAAGTGCTACTTGTCTGGTACTGGGTAGATCTCAAGCTTGGTCAGGTCCTTCTGTACGGAGGCATCCTTACCATTCCCACTGTGTTCGCTGGTAAGCAAGCTCTGTATGCGACTGGAGAATGGAGAGCCGGTCGGAAGTAAAGACTGCATACTCGTGACTTTGTACCGTCTCAATCACAATACCCCTGATACTATTGTGGCTTTCCCCTATGGACAGACAACACCCTCAGCATTATGAGAACATGTAGGCGACTGCAGTTTGCCTTTTCATTAAGGGAGACTATCGCTCTATGCCCTTGCCTTAAATAGAATTTGGTATCAATATGTTTGACGCCTGCCAGCGTTAGACACCGTTGCTGACTACTTAGATTGCAGACATACACGCAAACACGCACCTAGGTTCACATTCCCAGTTTCGCAGGTTGGTAGGTAGGATTGTCCTGCAGCTGATGCAAGATACGAGTGACTAGGAAACCTCAATGGTGGCATCTTTGGTCGCGATCATCCACCGTGACTTACAGGTAAGTGTTGACCCTAAACTTGCTCTGAATTTTCTGACGTTCGACGACGCATGACCTTGGCTATAGCCGATGTTTGGCAACTTCCAGTATGCAGTTGGCGCAGGACCCCGCAAGACTGGATATTCCCACGTACTCTGAGGTCACCTCAGATCGGTGACTAGTTTATTGTATATCTTACCATTTAATCTTGCTCATGGTGTTTAGCAACAAGAATTTGAACTCGGGTACTTCCTTCGTGAGACATACCCCAATCCTGATTCGCCATCTTTCATCCAGCACTGATGTGGTAAATACCGGTCAGCTGGCAGTCGGCATAGATGCTGGTAGAGGAGAGGAGATGTCAGACTCGACTTCGCGTGTGCCCTGCTTCAGGATTTACGCTCATCCACAGTCGGAGATAACTTTGGCGAATGGACGAACGGTCCTCCCTCCTCTTACTAGAGAATACCAATTTGTTTCAAACAAGTTGACCTGCTATCAGAGCTGCTCTTTCGTTCTCTGACTGGTCTGCTGTAGTGCATTCACCAGAGTTTTGGCAAGCTGCGTCTCTCACCTGCTGGATAGATTGCGAGACGTGAGTATCATCATTTCTTCCCAGGTTACTTTTGAAACCAGCGACAGTCATCAAGCTCTCACACTGGCCCGCGCTGTTCTCGACCTGCGGCGGACGGATCCCTCTGTATAAAAGAAATCATATCCTGCACAGCCCACAGTACACTTCACAACCACGAGACATTTTGTATTTGTTGATTCCACGAACTTAGCATGCGCCACCCTAATACACCGGCCTAAATCGCACTGCGTGCTTCTGAGATTTGGCTATCTGTCCGCAGTAGCGTTCATTTTCATTTCTATTTCGCGCTCAGTACGTGTTCCGATAGAGTTTCGTCGCTGACATACCGGCGAACTGCAGGTCGTTCGTGTGCAACAGACCTGATACAACTCCCTGCCGTTACTAGAGCAATCTCCGCTGTCCGCTATATATCTTTGCGCGCACGCATTTTCTGCCCCACACGTTTGCCAAACGCATGAGGTGTCAGTGGTCTCGAGGCCGGGCATGGCTCGTGCACAAAGAGGACCACCAGCCGTAAATGCCAGGAGAATGATTATCGAGAGATTCATCTATGTTCAAGACAAGTGCGTGTTTTTTGTTTGGTTGGTTGTTCGTCAGTTGTATGCTTACGGTGCTTTATGGCTGGTGGTGGTTAAGGCATTAATCCGTAAGTTTGAAAACAGCAACCATACCTAGGCAGACCAAGATTCTTGTCATACAAATCACTCCACATTGTGAGAATGCGGAATCTCTTGATCACGAAATACTTACATACTCTAGTCATGCCGACCTTTGAATTCAATGCAACGGCCGCTACATCGCACGTAGTAATTGGATATATCTATATCTACCCCTCTCCCTCCGACTTCTCATCTTTCAGTCCAATAGTAAACTGTGTTCCTGCACGCCCGTGCCTTTCTTCGTCTCCCCTGCCACCTAGAGCTGTGCGGAGTTACGGACGTGGCTCGGCATCATCAGGATTGAAAGTGGTTTTCAACTAGTCTTCTTGCTACTAAGTATTCTTCATTGATCAGAAGTTCAGTATCGCATAATATGATATGGCGCCGAGATACAGTTGTTGTGTGGAGTGGTGATTGTGGAAGGGGCGTGGCATATATATGTTCTGTATGATTCAATTGATTGTCAAGGTCGTGAGTCGGGGGTTGCTAACTTGAACACATTTTCTAAAAAGGAAGTCAAAGGCTTTAGGATTCAATATATACAAACAACCACACTTTTATGTCAATTTGAAACTTTGCCGCCTGCTGGGGCCTGCCAAGTCCATGTTCGAAGATGTCAGCTGGTGACACGTGCAGGTTTGGCACGTGGAAGTTCTTATCTTCGTGGTTGTTTCCTATTATACATATGGTGAGCTGAGGATCACTTGATGCCAGTGCTCATCCATGATGCAAAGCTGTCGTTGGTAGGATCCAATATGGGCTGCTAGCCTTCATGTAGGTGACCATCGTGTGACGATATTGGACGACTTCCCGCAGCGTTCAGAATCTTAGACATTGTTTCGGACCTTATGCGTCAGAAATTCGGTTCACAGTACATCAATGACAACATCTAGAAATATGTTCTCAGTTAACTTTCTGGTACCTTGGCCGCCCTTGTCATCAATCAGACTTCGCACGGTCGAGTCAGTTCCTTCGAACAACTTCAAACCCAACAGAGTCCTATATATAAGGAACGACTGTCTTTCTCTTTTGGTCTGACTAGTACGGGAGACTTACAAAGTCCGGACAACATTCACAATGAAAAGACCTCGAGACTCTGCAGTGCATCATGATTCATGTAACGTTGGGAATCACGGCGCTGCCGCGCTAAGGCTAAGTCGCTGTTGAAAAAATTGAATGGCGCGAATATGACATGATAGTATTGGGTTACTGGAGTCATGGCCGGCGGACGTTCGTGGCGAGCGCGTTGCAGGCCCGCATCCCAACCTGCTCAGGGAGTTGAATGTTAGGTAGATCCCTCAAGTCTACATTGCTATAAAGTTTTAAGCTAACAACATATCGAAAGATATGGCGAAGAAAAGATCGAACCGACGAAGCTGAAGGTAATAGAAGAATGAGGGAAGGGAAGCATGTGAGTAGCGGGAATACACAGGTTATATCTCGTGACGATAGCATCCTTAGTCGCCACTTGTTAAGACTTTTCTGTCTTGCACTTGACGGTCGAGAAATCAAACTCGTTCTGCATATATTAATGCTGTACGGACCTAATGATCATTTCAGGAAAGGACTCGGACTGCCTGCACTGCTCATCGCAAGTCCAATACTAGAATGAGTCACCCATCCAATATATCTTGTTGTTTGGGGGTGAAGAAAATCTTGTGTGCAATGTGATCTTGAATTCGCCAGGGTATTCCAGAAAACGGAAATGAATGCTACCTGTGGAAAGACACTATAGCCAAATCTCAGAAGCACGCAGCAGTGCGGTGTAGGCCGGTGTGCCAGGGTAACGCATGCATCGAAGTTGAAGGAATCAACAAGCACAAGACGTCTCGTAAATTCGAATGTGTACTGTGGCAGAATATGATTTTCGATATATGAAGGGATTCCTTCGCCGGAGGTCGAGAATAGCGCGGGCTAGTGTGAGAGCTTGATCATGATAACTGGCTGCTTGAAAGCGGTGGGATTTGGGGAATCGAAGTGAACCACGAAACAGCATTGTTTCAGGGTAGGAATTCGAACACGTGCGTCCAGGTTGCTCGCCAGCCTGAGGTCCTTTAGGCTGCATGGTCGTGAAGGGAATGAGTGTGGCATAACAGAAAGCGGCAGGAAAAGATAACTCAGGACGAACTATGCTCATATAGCCTTTGTCTCAGGCTTATCTGAACCAAGTCTGAGTTTGCTAACGATGCTCGGGTGCGTTCGCCTTCCACATAGTACTAGGAAGGCTCAAGCGCTAGCGCTCATCCCCCGAATCGAGGCACAGCTCATCACGAGATGGGTCAATAACGTTAGATTATTGGTTACATCCAAGACAAGCCCAAGTTCCCAAGTTTCACTTGGTACCTATTACTATATCTTACGCGCGCACAAAAAATACACAGTATGACATCTGCATATCTAGCACACCATGGTTGGACATGGTGATAGCAAAAGTCAAAGTTCTCGATCTGCCACTTTGACAGTAGGCCTATGTCTTGAATATCCGTAAAAGTCGTGCTTCTGTGACGATCCGGGTGCGACAGAGTGGACACTCGCGAGATGATGCGAGTACTAGATCAGAGCAGGTACGACACATCGCTAGGTGTCTGTTGGCATGGTTAGTCAAAGGCCGTGTGTGCAAGCACAAAGCTTGGAACACTCACCCGCAGTCCACGATTGCGATATTTGCTTCCTGGTCCTGGCATATCACGCATAAACCAGAACGTTCTGCAAGCGTCGTCCTAGGTGGTGACGGTGGTGGAGAAGTGGAAGGCGGCGGAGGATGTTGCTGCGACTCGTCATGTGTCTCGGCATTCTCAGCAAAGTCATGCATGTGGTCGTCTTCTGGCTCGGCTAGCTCTGTCTCCATAATTGACCTTTCGGCCTCAACCCTCTCTCTCTCTTCTTGTTCTTCCCTCTCTCTCGCCTTTCCCTCTCTTCTTGTTCCCTCTCCTCCCTTTCCATGATATCTCTTTCCTCCGCCGCCGTTCTCTCCTCCTCCAACCAGGTACTAACGCGTGCCACGAGTTCCCCCTTCTCAAGGAGGTCAGCGGGCAGACGCACACGTGCCTCATACAATATCTGCTTCAGCGTGTGGATGGGTAATCGGGAGAGGGACGATGTGGACATCGCAAGGAGAGCAGAAAGCGGAGGCGGGGGCTGTGGCGTGGACGGCTGAGGTGGTGAGCGAGGTGCGGTTGATGGACGCGTAGGTGTGCTGGCAGTAGATGTTGGAGACGGGCGTCGACTGGAGTGGGGCGCTGATCGAGGCGGCGTTTGTGGCGGCGAGGCTGTCCTGAATCGTGGCTGTGGTTGAGGTGGAGAGGGCTGAGGCGGGGGAGGCGTAGGGGGTGTCTGGCGCTGTCTTGTGGAGTTGGAGGTATACGTTCTGTATGGTGCTGGCTCAGGGTCAAGGTCAGGGCGGGGGAAGTCGGGTGGTAGTAATGTGGATGTTTGTTGGTGAGTTGGGGGTGGAGGACGGGTGCTAAAGAGCCCACGAGGGCGCGATGAACAGTGTTTTGGGACACGATGGGTACGGTAGAAGGATTCGTTTGAGGACGGGAGGGTTCCTGTTGGTGTCTGGGAGAAGTCAGCGATACAATGATGGACCAGGGTGGAACGGAAAGCACCTTTGCAGCGATGATGGCATCCACGAGGTCATTCTTATCGATAGGGCCTTTGACGGAGATATCGTATGCGTTGACATAGCGGCGAAGGGTGGAGAGCGGCAGGGACTTGAGCTGGGTTCTACTAGAAGCTGTTACTGAATACAAGACATCAGATCGGGACGTTGGTACTAGAAAGTATGGGACGCACTGTTAAGAAGCTCGATACAGAATGCACAAACGTGAACTTGGTCATAGCCAGATGCTGCACCATGGCGGGGCATGAGCGCCGGGTAGTCTGCGCAGCTAGCACAATACAAGTAGCCTGCCGCGTCGAAAGAATTAACCAATCTAGTCACTAATGTATTCGCAGGTGTAACTGACCACAATGATTGCAACGAGTTGAGCGTGTAAAGATGATAATGAATTCCTTGTTACATTTCCTGCATGCATTCTGCGCACGATCTGTAGAAGGCGCTGGTGGAGGACCGCTGAGTAGAGGGAGCCCGCTAAAGTTGGACATACACGACGGTAGAAATTCGAGAGCTGAAGATGATGATGGTAAGTCACTGACAAGTTCTTGGAGCACTACGTCGTGAGACTGCTTAGGCTACTGCTTGTTCTAGTATGTTCTCGACAACAGCCTCGGTCGCGGTATCACACGGTCTCGCCTCCTATGGTGTTCATCACTGTTCACGACGCTGAGCTCAAACTAGTCATACTAGTCCGCAGCGATCTCCAAACAATACTTATTGTCGGTTCATTCATACTATTGATGATGTCCACTCCTGTCCACTTCTGCGCCTCTCTGAGGATCCGAAATGCAACACGACAACTTTTATGCATAACCAGGATTCAATTGTGATCTGACCAAACTCCAGATCTACTCCATCCAGGACCATCATCCATAACGTCGATTCTACTACTAAGTAGTACATAGACTCTAGCTGGTTGGAGGAGTCACGTGAGGCTTGCAGAACTGATCGCTTGGAAGTTCTGATCAGATATCGGTGGCTTCTATTACATTTGTAAGAGTCGATTGTACGTAGTCATTATTTCAATCATTTAGATCGATTTCATGATATCGTATCCCAACTGACCACCATGTCAAACCCGTGGACGCAGTACTATTCTGACAACTTTCGAGTGGTACCTTCTCAGTCTGCTTCTGGATCAAGCTATATATCATCACCGATCTCATCTACGCCAGTTTCATCCGCCTCTGCGGCGCCGATCTTTCAGCAGACAATGATCACATCCAACATTTCACTGCAGCATCTATATGCAGATGTCAAGGCAATCCTCCAGTCCGCGGAGGCCTCTCTCGAGGAGCAGAAAAAAATCTCAAAGGACTTGAATGAACTGGGCACAACCGTCAATGCTTTGGAAGGTGTACTTTGTGGTAATTGCGGCAAGAGGAAGAAGAAAAAGGAGGGGGGGGATGTGGATTTAGATATTTTACAATCGGAGGGGGGTATAGTTCGTCGGTTAGCAACGATGAATAGTGCGATCAACGACTTACTTGCACATGTCTCTAGATTGGACACAGCTTCCTGTAAGCCTTGTTTTGACTTTGCGTTCTGATTCACTTGAATCTCCCCTTTGCTGAATAGGTCACTCTGTAGTGTGCTGCAACGCAAGCACTGCCGCACGTACGCCATTTCCTCCACTTCAAAAAAGTGCGTCTTTTATTATCGGTTGATCATGAAGGCTGATGCACCAGGCTTCAGAATACTTGGACACATCGACGAGTACAGATGAACCTCTCCTGCCAGCGCACCACCACCATGTCTATTGGAATTTCGGCCTTGGTTTCCTCCCCTGCAGCGCTCTCCTGAGACACTCGCCCCTGCTAGCTGGAACATGAATCGTATGTATCTCGTTTTCTAATCATCATCTCATACTGAGATTATAAATACCACCTTGTCTCAACACCTCATGCATTTCGACTACTTTGACTGGCGTTCATTCACATATTACCGGGGTGCACACCACTTCATCACCGTCGACTTCTCCAAGATATATCATTTCGCCTGATGATCTCCTGTACACATACCCGCAGCCAAAACTCGTATCGTACTCCGGGTAAGTTTTTCTTCCTAATTACTTCAAAAGATCTTTCTCTTCCTTACCCGCCCTGACAAGTATCCATGGACAGACATAGAATTTTCCATGTCTCATCTTTTTGTTCATTTACCCGCATATATCTGGTCCATACAATCATCTGATCTAGCGAACTAACTAAACCACCCAACAGTATTCGCTCGCTCGCAAGCGTATATCCACAGTCTTCAGCGCGATTCCAGCTCACCCGGGAGCACAGAGTCTAGAGCTTCTCCGGGCCCTACGATGTCCCCTGGTGTTTTTAACCATATCTCATCTCCTGCAATAGCCGACGTTTCCTCTCGTTCAGCGGCTCCTACTACCTTGCACGCTAGGGTCTCCATAAATGGGCCTGATATTTCGTCACCGCTGCCAACCCCATCTCCTGAAATCCCGCTCGAGGAAAGTTTCAGCTGGGCGAACGACTCGAACTCTAGGTCTCGGACGGGCCCACAACCAGGACGGGATGGTCCTGATCAAAACGTGGCCATGACGTCACTCCGCGCCTTCCCAAACTCATTATTAAACCCCATTGCGCCCCCGTCTACCAATCCAATTCACAAACCAGCACGCACCTCCATTCTACCTGCATCTCGTTCACTCGATTCCAGATCTAACCCTACTCCATCACATTTCACGTCTACGTTAACCTTACCTTCCACTTCATCAAATTCAGGCTCGTCTAACTATAACGCTTCATCCCCTGCCTCTAGAATCGCTCCTATCGCTCCTACTCCACCTTCATCATCACCTTCATCTTCTGCTCGCACTGTTAACATGCACCTTGCTAGCCCACCCCAACCCCGATCTCTACGCTCGCACAAGCGCACGCGACTGCGTCGTGCCACATTCTTCCGCGGGTTTACAAGAACATCGGGGGAGATACGGATTGTGAGGGACCGTGTGTGGACTGTGAAATGCGACACTATGAATATTATGAGCGTCGCAACCAGAGTATGGACTCCCAAGAGCAGAGCACTGAGGAAACCCGGGATCAAAGCACGGCTGCTGGTTCATTGCGTACATGCTTGAATTCGTCTTCAAGTGAGATTGATACCCCGTCGCTGGAGGCGCAACCCGAAGTACTGGGAGTCCCGCTGTCTACACTTGAGACGCAAAATCAAAGTACAATCGCTGATCCATCGCGCATGTGCTTTGATACGTCTTCCAGCGAGTCACCACCACTTGGTGCGAATGCAGAGGCATCTCCTCATCTTGACGCACAACTTGAAGGGCCAGGAGTAGAGAAAGAAGTCCCGGTCTCTGTTTTTGAGGTGCAGGACCAAAGCACAACCGTTGACTCACCGCGCATGTGCTTGGATCGACCCTGCGGCGAGTCAGATCAGCCGTCGCGGTCGTTTGAAGCTAATGCAGAAGCATCTCCGCACATGCTTGAGGCGCAACCTGAAGGATCGGGAATAGAGCCAGAAATCCCACTGCCTGCGTCGGAGGCAACATCCTAAAGAGTTTAGAGGAGAGCTAAAAGCTACTGAGTCAGCTCCCAGAGCAACCTCAAAAAGTCCATCACACGCAATCGACTTGGATGCGCTGCAGAGACTTATACATGGGCACGTACTTCCGCTGTGGCATGGTTTGGGTGCAGCTGGGATGCACCAGGATGGAGAGCCTCGTGGCTCAGGACACATGTGGACGGATGAGTATGGGGAAGTAACGAGGACTTCGGTGGTTCAAGTCTAGAGGAGGGTTTGCGGCCTGGCCACACACCTGATACTGGGGGATCAGGCGATTCGGGACTCGATAGCCCAAATGAACCTGGGTATGACTCTGGAGAATGTGAGAGAGAGCAGAGCTTGCAGATAGAGTATGAGGGTGGGGGGATCGATGGGACGCTCAAAGAATCCTTCAAGTCAGCAGGAGAGCGCTCTGATGTTTCGTTCACGCCAACGACACACCCAAGCCAGCAGATACGCGAGACCCTTGCTCACAAGATCACCGTCCAGAACAACTTGCAGACTCAGAAGGCATCGTGCAGCCTGAACCTGTTCTCTCTGAGCTACGGAAACCGACTCCCTCGAATCTGACATGCCTCAATGCTGATTACCTGGACCAGTATGAAGATCTCCACGCTGAAGACTGCCGCGAAGAAACACCTGCCGATTCTCTCTTTCGAGATGAAGAAGCTGTCGCCGCAGCGCTCACAGCCCTGTCTCCTTCAGCAGAGAGCGGATCCCCGCCTTTTCCGTCCTCCCCAGAGGGTTTTTCTGTGTGTTTGCCTTTACAGTCAGAATCGGAGGCGTCGTGTCAAGGAGTCCAAGACCAAGGAGACGGGCCTCCTTTACAGGAACCAACGGAGATTCTTGATGGCGTGGACGATATTTTTACGACGTTTATCGATTTTCATGAACGCCTGCACCGATGGAGCCACGTCTGCTCTAAGAAGTACGTATACTGAGGACCTGGAGCAAGAACCTTCAGAGATGCATGTGGAGCACGAACCTGCAGTGACCATTGATCATCCAGCAGATGTCGAATCCGAAACCAGTACATCTGCCGAGCTCTCAGCCCCACTTGAACACGCGCGTTCCGTCCATTCTCCCCCCACCTTCGCTACCCCACCCCCTAGCACGTTGCCATCATCTCTCTTACACCTATTCAGGTCACTCTCCCCACTGTCCTCGCTGGGGGAGTCCTCGTTAGGGGAGTCTCCGCCGATACTGCAAGAGGAAATTGATGCTGGGCACGAGGAGGGGCAAGATGAAATTGGGGTGGAGTTACGCAGAACAGAGAACCTCGATTCAGACGAAGACCTCGGTGTGCACCAGTGCAGAGCACGCTCGGGGTCCTCAGTATCAGTACTGCGGCGGAAGATGTTGTTGAGATCGCTGCAGTCTGGTGAGTTAAGAGGCGGGCCAGGCGCATCCATCGAAGAGCTCTCTATGCTCGCAAAGAAGGATCCACGCAAAATCATGATCTCAGAGCTCAAGCGTAAGCTCGAGCCATTGGAGTCAGCGAACCAGTCACGGCCGTCAAAAAGAAAACTAGGTTCCATGAAGATATGGATGCCACATCATTCAGCACAGATAACGCGACTTCTTCCTTCACTTATCTAGCCCATCAGCTCCAATGTCAAGGTGCGGGGAATCCAATGCCCCAATCCTCTGATCCTTCCGAATCAACGGAGGACGTGATGTCACTCCAAGTCAAGAGCATTTCAGCACCGATAGAAGTAGACAGTGCCAGTGTCATTGGCACGACGACGAACAACGAGCCAGCGCAGACCTTCGTGACCACCTCGGAGATGACAAAGTCAAGGCTAGCTGTAAATGCCAGTGAGCCCTGGGAGGATTCAATTTCGCGCGGAAAGCGGGCGCGACCTCTAAGCTGGAAGGCGAGCCAAGCCAGCGCCCAGAAGAACGTTCAGCAGTCCGAGAGAAACGGAAAGCCCAAGTCGCGGCGACCGCAGAAGAGAAAGTCCAAGTCACTGGTTATTAAGGACGAAACTCAGATGTGTCAGTGGCCTGCAAAGAGCGAACAAGATGGGTCGTTTCAGCGTCAGTTCGTACAGTGTGATAAGTCAGTATCTTTTAGTCATTTCATCCTATGGACATCCCTGAGTTCGTGCAGCTGCGACTTGTGGTATCACTTTGGCTGCGCTGGTTTTTCGGAGGGAGATCCCTCGCTTGGAGGAGCAAGATTCTGTCTTCATCTGTCCGCCATGCTGGTACGTGTTCAACAGATTCGTGCCTCCTGCCTTCAATGAATTAAATCCAATTTTTCAGTATCTCGAGTAGGTGTTCATGCATCCAGCTGCCTGATATGATCAACTATGATTGATATTCTAGGCGCAAAAACGCCAGACCCCGCGGCAGGCACGCTGAAAGATGTGCCCGTCCAGATTGTTCACTCACCCAACTCGATGCAGAGGAGTTTGTCATCGAGCGCCTAGTCGG